ACTGGACGAGGGAGACAGAAGTAAAAGAGACGGGAGAGTGGGGAAAGGGAGGCGGTGGTACTGGAGAGGGAAGTAAAAGAGACAGGAGAGTGAAAAGGGAGGGAATGGTACTGGACGAGGGAGAGAGGAAACAAAAGAGGGGATGTATAATAACACTGTATGAGAGATAAATGGAAGGATGAATTGTTAGAGAGGGAGGTAAGATTGAAGGAGAGACTGGATTAATTAAAGGCTTGAAGGGGTGTCACTGGATGAGGGAATAGTGGAAGGGAAAGCCTGGATGATATTGGAAATAAATGGTACATGGAATGGGTTGGAAAGTCTGGGGTAGGAGAGTTTGTCAACACAACCTGTAAAGGATCCTAGATGTATGAGAGATAACTAAAGGTTGGATGTTCCCTTGATTTTATTTAGATTTTTTTGTCAATAATAAAAGTTAAAGAGTAATGATGACAATCATTTTGATATGACAAAGTGTTCGTCAGTAACTAATGATGGATGATAATTTATCTATAAACACAATCCAAAATAGCTGGTTATGTACGAGTGTGTGCAGGGAAGTATTTGTGACATAGGGTTAGTGAGGTATCAATCTATCTTCTCCCCAAAACAGGTCACTATAATGTGATTGACTACGTAATTAATGATAGGCATGTTATAAATCACTTGGACATGCTTTTTGTATTATAGTCCTGTTAACATATTCATTAATTGGGAGTGGTAGTGAGGGGTGTGTTGGGAGGGTTAATTAGCTAGAGGGGGCAAGGACTCTCGACTTCAATTTTGTATCCACATCATAGAGGGACTGGCTACTACCGACTTCCTTTTCGGCATTGGTCCCCTACGCGTGTACAAAAACAAGTCTAAACTGCCAATCTATAATTTGTTTGAGATGTACCCATAGGGAGACTCTTGGTGCCATCTTTTGTTATAGATACCATCACTTAACCCACCTAACCTAGTCAGGCTGCAGCGGTGTGCCAGTGGTGGTGTGCTAGTGGTGGTGTGCCAGTGGTGGTGTGCTAGTGGTGCGCTACCATTCTATACAAACGGAGTCCATTCTCAGATCACTTATATGTTAGGGGTTGATACAATGTCCATTTCCAGAACACTTAATGTTGGGGTTGTGGATGGAGCTCCGGTTCTTTTGTATAATTTGCTGTGGCTGAGATCAGGGTGGCAGCTAGTACTAAATTGTATATAGAGTAAATTTACAGGTTGATAGTTGCATGATGATATAATTTAATTTCTTACAATCAATATTGACACAACCTCTTTTTATCTAATATTCTAATATTTGTGTATGTAGATTGCAGATCTCGGACTGCTGTACAAGAAATCATGTCTCGTTGTCATGGACGCAAGCGCTGTGCGGTAGAGGCAGAAGAATATGTGTTTGGTAACCCCTGTCCTCCAGGAATTCCTAAATACCTCAATGTTGTATATACATGTGGTAAGTAAGGTCAAGGTCATTATCTTAATTATGAGCTCAAATTACCTTTATATAATACCTGATCAGAACAAAGTGACACCCTCACCTGTCTGTCACAGAGATACCTACTAGGTTATATAGCTAATTATAAATACCTCACTATAGTTATGACAAAGTGACATCCTCACCTGTCTGTCACAGAGATAC